CAACCTTCTGGTTAGCAGCTGAGCGCTTAACCATTGCGCCACCAGGGATCCTTACACATAGCAAATTAGGTCAAGGGTTTAGAAACTGGGGGTCTAATTGAAGCACTGACACAAATTCTGTGTCTAAACATCCCAAACAGAAAGGACAGCCAACTGTTAACTTACAGGAGTAAAATAATATACATCCAAGTGTTTTGCAAAGCAGAAAGTACTCTGTCGTTCTTTGCTGCCATGGAGTCAGCCCCCAACTCAGGCCACCCCACGTACAACGGGGTTGGATCATTGTGATCCAGAGGCTTTTCACTGGCTGATTGGCTGAGTTCCTACAAAGGGGCTCTGGCTTTTAGACAATCATACAACAACACAGCAAGATGAATTCCATTCTAAGGACAGAAACGACGGTAGCTGGTTCACCAAAAAAGTAACACAATCTCGTTACCAACAAGTCTGTGCCTAGTAATATACCGTATTTGTCTCTGATTCAATGCATTTTAAACCTCTGAAGATGTCATTTTTGTCTTCACATATAAACAACACGCTTCTCTATTTTACATACACGTGTTCCTCAGACCAGAATTAACAAATATCACGTTCTTTACAGTATACAGCATACAGTGAATTCTTAGCACATAAAAGACAAAAATGGAAATTCTGACAATAAATCAATTTAAAATGTATAAATATAGTTCTAACAGAATTTTAATCAGAATTTTTTAAACCTTTGGAAATGTGTTTTCCACTCACCAGTTTTTGAGAAATGTATTTTCCAGTAATTTACCAGAATACTCATTTTTTCCTTTGTCAGTGGTTCAGTTAAAATAATATCAGCTCCGTGCCCTGAAATACAATCTAAGAATCTTTGTGTTAAATATTGATCTTATAATTTGTATTTAGAGAAGAAAATAAACAGCATATTCAGCAGGTACATACCTTCAAAATTTTCAGGAATTATAAAAACGAACAGCAAATGTGTGTTTTTCTTCTTGGCAAACCTGAGAGAAAAAGACATTAAAATGAAGCAAAATCACCATTCACAAAACTGGGATCCAACAGTTTAGCTCATTAGGAACTAGACTACAGTGATTTTTTTTTCTTCCTTTAGAATTTAAAATTGTGGTGTTAATATGGAAATTTAGTAGAAGTAGCTTTAAAAAATGATTTTAAATCTGATCAGAACTCTGGACCTAATTACCAGTTTATAT